CACCTGCACTCCCACACTCTGGGAAGCTGAGGCAGGAGGATTACAAACTTGAGCCCAGCTTTGGCAATTCAGTGACTTAGTGAGGCCCTGTTTCAAAACTGAAAAAGATCAGTACCACAAAAACAAGACAAAATCAAACAAAAACAAATCTTTTCCTCCTGCTCTTCCTAATACTAGAGACTGAACCGAGGGCCTTTGCACTGAGCTATATTCCCAGCTCTCTTTCTCTCTCTTTTTTTCTATTATTTTACTTTGAGACAGACTCTCTTTAAGTTACTAAATTGCCCAGGCAGGGCTTGAATTTGTGATCTTCCTGCCTCAGCTTCCCTGAATGCTGGGATTACAGGGGTGTTCCACACGCCCAGCTGCAAAACAAAACAACAAAAAGCATCCCTTCTACACATTGTTTGAAGCCAGGACTTTGTTAGGGTGGCAACAAGAAACAGTTGCACCTGCCAAGACTGACAAGGAGGCAGTCGCCGGGCAGTGAGGTCTGCGGAGGGGACTCGCCAGACATAAAGGGCTACAGTCAGGAGGTCCATGGCTATTTAAACATCACTTAAAAATAAAGTCAGTGCTGTGTTGTATCCGTCACAGTGCAGGTGCTCAGTAGCCACGCACGGCTGTGACCTTCGTATGGGACAGCGAGGACAGAGAGCACCTGCACCGCTGCGGAACACCCCTACATTCCTGCAGAGGACAGGGCATCCCATTATTAAGGTTACAGAAGTGGCTGAAGACCAGGCGTGCTGGCACAGGCCTGTAATCCCAGCACTCCAGGAGGCTGAAGCAGGAGGATCACAAGCTCAAGTCCAGCCTGGGCAATTTAGCCATTTAGTGAGCTCCTGCCTCGAAGGAAAAAAAAAAAAGCTAAAAGGTGGAGGGCAGGGAAGGGGAGTTGATACAGTATCTAAAGTCCACACATAGTTTAAAACAGTAATTGTCAGAAAAATTATAAAACGATGTGTAAAAGCTTTTACCCTTTAACTGGGCGATCGGGGATGGGGCCGTGTGTGTCCACTCCATGCACGCTGAAGCCAGCCGGTGATGGTGTCTGGTGACAGTGGCTGCAGAGGCACACCGCACGGCAGGGGTCTTGGTGTGCCATCTCTCCACCACTGAGCTACACCCAGCTTTTTTTTGGTTGTACTTGGGATTGAATCTGGGGCCTTTGCACTGAACTATATCCCCAACACCTTTTTATTTTGAGGCAGGGTCTCGCTGAGACCTGGACTTCGAATTGCGATCCCCCTGCCTCAGCCTCCCAGAGTGCCGGGATTACACAAGCGTAACACTAACCTGTCTCTGCAACCCGAGACAGACAAGTCCTCCTTTGCCTTCCGTGTGTTCTGCGGAGGTGACAGGTGTGCCCTCTTGCCCCAGATTAAGCTCTTGCGTGTCCTGAGCAGCGGAGTCATCATTCTGAGTCACCCTGCTTTCGACGGCCTCATGACTAAGGTGCAGGTGTAAGGTGAAGGGGGTGGCATGGTGACTGCGTGCCGAGGGGCCTCTGAGAGGGCACCCACTTTAATGCTTGCTCCCCAGTGCCTCTCCGGCCTGCTAACGGGTGTGGGCAACTGCGCTCAGGTAATGAGGCGTGGGGGCGGCTCCCCTCCGTGGTGGTTGTTGATGGTTAACGCTGCGTTAATGTGGCTGGCCCACCGGAAGCAGCCGTCTGGCCAAACATCAGTCTGCACAGTTCTGTGAGGTGTTCTAATGAGACCGACATCTAAATCTGATTTTGTGGGAAGATTCCCCTCCAGAGCGTGGGACAGCCTCATTCAATCAGTTGCAGGTCAGGCCAAAGGGCTGGGGCCAGGCCCTGCCCTCCACCCCCCGCCCCCGTACAGGAAAACAAAACAAAAGAAAGCCATGCAATAAATCAAAGCCACATGTGGTGGTGCACACTCCTAATCCCAGCTACTCAGGAGGCTGAAGCAGGACTGCAGGTTTGAGACCAGCCTGAGGAATGCAGCCAGACCGTCTCAGGAAGAACAGAAAACCCATCTGGCTGGGCCTGCGGCTGCACGCTTGTCATCCCAGCACTCAGTAGGCTGAGGCAGGAGGATGGCTGTGAGTTCAAGGCCAGCCTGGGCTACACAGTTGAGTCCAAGGCCAGTGTGACACCCTCCACAGGGAAACCCCCCACTTCTGTTCAACTCAGGACAGTGTCACTTCCTCATAACCTACGAAGTGAAGAATGTGTTGAGCACCACAGCTCTGCCTTAAAGTGCTCAGAACACTTACTACTTACAGCTGCCGCTGATTAGCACTATTCTCCAACTTCAGGCCTCTTTATTTGATGTATTGTGACTGAACTCAGGGCCTTTGCCCTGAGCTACATTCCTGGTCTTTTTTTTTTTTTTTTTTTTTTTTTTTTGAGACATGATCTATACAGTTAAGGCTGGCCTTTAACTCACTATGTAGCCCAGGCTGGCTTCGTACTTGGCAGTGAACCTCCTGCCTCAGCCTCCAAACTGCTGGATTAGTTGTATACCACCATGCCTTCTCAAAACCTATTTCGGAACAAAGCGTTCAGCACCTTATTTTTTTTCGAAACAGGGTCTCGCTATGTAGTTCAGGCTGTCCTCACACTTGTGGATATCCCCTTGCCTCTGAATCCCGAGTGCTGGGGCTATAGGACTGTTCCACCACACCCAGCCAGGTACGTGTGCTGACTGGCAGCCGCAGCTCACTGCCCCCTCTCAGCAACCCAAGCATGATCAGATCACACATCACCAGCCAAGGAAAAGATCACAGTTCAAAATTCAAATTCTGAAGTACAGTTTCTAACAATACTGCTTTTGCTCCACCATAAAGTCAAAATATCCCAAGTCAAACCATTGCACAGCAAGGAAAAGAACAAAGCAGCAGTGGTCTGCAGAGGACCCTCAGCCTCCTCCCACCTCCCGCCACTGTGGGAGCAGGAACGGTGCGGGCAGCGAGGAGAAACCCACAGGCTGTTTAAAATAACTGCCTCCTCGGGCCGGGGATATAGCTCAGCGGCACAAGCGCCTGCCTGGCAAACGCAAGGTCCTGAGTTCAATTCCTGGTATCAAAAAAACAAAAAAAAACCCATAAAAATAAAATAACTGCATCCTTTAATGGCAGTAATACAATTATCAGATTAAGAGACACAGGAGAAAAGGCAGGAGAGGTTTCTGGAAGACAGATATGGAGTACAAAAGGGGGTGGGGTAGTCATGCGACGATCATTGTAAAAATACAGTACATTATATACATATTTGCACCATCGACTTTCGACTCTGAAATAGTATGTACACTTTTGTTACAATCCTGGTTAGAGAACAATTTTTCTTTAAAAGCTCGGCCTGATGGCGAAAGGGAATTCTGGATGAATTCATAGTCCCATGAGGCTCGGACGCTGAATGTTCCAAGAGGAGCATTTCAGCTTCTATTTCATCCACAGATTTCGGTTTTAAAAAAGCATTTACTTTCTCAGAGGAGGGGGAAATAAGCCAAACCCCAAACACCGCCAAGCTGTGTCCTTCCTCGTCTTACACACGCCTGAGCCTCCGCCCTCCAGTCCACGGCCAGCTCTTGTGGCTGAAGACAAATCTCACTGATGATTGCTTTGGAAAACAACACAAACGGCTGCCGGCTGGCCGGCCCGCCCTCACCTCAGCCCGCGACCCCACAGTGCGCTCTCGCCCTGTAGGTCGCCCAGCCCAGCTGCACCCACCCTGGCTTCTAGCCCCAAATTAATGAGTTATTTCTCTCTGGGGTGGGCGTGGCCCAGGAGCCTTGTAAGGCTCTCGTCATGGGGCAGGAGGGGGCTCCCTCAGCTGGGTGACCAGGTCTCACTGGAACAGAAGAGACCAGGCCTTCAGTGGGCCCAGGAAGAGGGACCCCCAAGTAACCAGACCTTCTGGGGCCAGAGAAGCCCAGGCCTTGCCTGGGCCCCCCAAGCCAGTCGTCTAGCCGTGTTTATGGGCCAGGCCTCCCCAGGGCCCCTGGGACAAGGCCAGTCCTCAGACAGGGTGGGAGAATTAGGCTTCTGTGACAGCTCTGGTCTGTCCCAGTTCAGCTGAACCTTCGGTCCTCTCCGCCCCCAGTGGGGTCCTGGGCCCTCCTCCCTGTTCCAGCTGTAGTCTCCCACCCCATCTTCCTTCCAGAAGTGCATAAAACCTTAAACCATGATGTCTACAGGCCCGGGAGAGGAAAACCAAACACCAGTACCTCGCCCCTACAGACACCATGGTTTAAGGAGCAAAGAAAGCAGAGCTTGCGAACACTGTGCCAAAGGCCACCTGGGATTCCCAGGGGAGCCTGCGGAGTGGCCAGCACGGATCCTTGAGCTGTTGCCAGGGCGGAGGCCGGCAGTGCAGGCACACAGGGTGCTGCGGCTTCTGAGGGCCGGGCCAGACCCCGGCGTGCAGGGCGGGACGGTAATACTGACAGACGCGTGCTCCCGGGCAGCTCTTCGGGGCCACGGCCCCACGGCCCCTTCACCCGCAGGCTCCTGCACAGGCTGGAGGGCCCTGGTTGGGGCGGGAGCTGGGGGCTGGGGACAAGGGGGCAGGAGTGGGAGTTCAGAAATGATAGGAGGCCTGGGGAGCGCCCGCCAGGGTGCCTCTGAGGGCTCCCGGCCACCTCCTCTGATACCTCCACTTTCCCCGGCAGGAGCAGCGGGCACTGGCCTCACGCTGGAGAGCCACGGCTGCTCACGGGCCCTCGAGGACGGGTTCCAGTCTCTACTTGCCCAGCAGAGCGGGGGAGTGACCCTCAGTGCCTTTGCAGGCACCCCTGCTCCCTTTGTCCCGAGGGGGCCCGAGCTTTGCCCGGAGGCCCCCCACCGGCGCCCAGCGACCACCTGGCCGCTGCGGCCCAGGCCCGGCACCGCGGGCAGCCGTGGGCCCTGCAGCACTGACGGGACCCACCCAGGATGGTTCTGTACAATTTATGTCTCAAAGGAAATACTATTTGAGGAAAAAAAAAAGGGAAAAAAGAGGAGAAAAAAGAAAAGAAAGAACACCCGGTCCCTCCCCATCTCCCCCCAATCCCAACTCAGACTGCTGCCCTTAAATATCACCGTGGAAGAGGCGGGGTTGCAGGAGCACCGGCTCCGGCCAACACTACTGGCAGAAGGGGGAGGCGGTGGGGTCGAAGCCTTTAAAAACGTCTTTCAGGGACCCTGCATCCTGCTCGCCCTCGCGGGCCGGGCTGTTGCCAGCAAACGGGCTTCCCGAGCCTGTCTTGGGTGCGGGCTTCGCGGTCCCGAAGAGGGCGGGCACGGGCAGGTTGTGCACCCCGGGCTGCGGCGGGGCGCCCTCCGCAGGCGCGGCGACGGTGGCTGTGGCGGAGGCGGCGGCTGCCTTGGGCCGGGGCCGGTTGTAGCTGTTGTATCTGTCTGTGGCCGCGGCAGAGGCCCCATCCGTGCCAGCTTTCCCTGCTTCTGGCTGCTCCAGTGCAGACTTGCGGACAAAAGGGGGCTCCTTGGTCTTAGAGGCCGAGCTCTTGCCGTTTCCCTCAGGCCCCTTGGGCTGGGCCCCTGCGTCAGTAGCTGGCTCCCCAGCTTTGCTGCCCGCGTTGGGAGTCCTCGGGTCATAGAGGCTGATGCCACTCAGCACACTGCTCTGCCCACTGCCGCTGCCCTGGCCCAGCCCGCCGGCGGCCAGGACTCTGGGGTCGTAGGGAGCCGTGGCCGGTGGGGAGGACCCTCCACTGGGGCTGGAGGCTGGAGAGGACCCTTCGGGAGGGCTGGGCTTGGCAGCACGCGAGGCGACCGTGTCTGCTGGCTTCTGCAGTCGAGGATCAGTGGGGGCCTTCCGCACCCTGGGGTCACTGGGCTTGTCGCTTGGGCTGGGGGCTGCGGAGGGGCCAGTAACGTTAACAGTCTTGAGGATGCGAGAGAGGAGCTCAAAGTCAGGCAGGTTGGAGCCGGAGGTGCTGGGGTCTGTGGAGGCGCCTTGGCGCTGGCGGGCACCGGGGGCCCCTGTGGGGTTGGACCGGTGCAGCCTGGGGTCCAAGGCAGGCAGGGACTGCAGGGCAGCGGGTACGGGGGGGACCATGTCCTGCTTGGGGACGGGCAGAGGGATCAGGTCCTCGGGGTTCCAGAGCACGGTACGGGCAAAGCTGGGCTTGCTCAGGGTCACGTCCTTCTTGATGTGGCTGAACTGCTGCAGCTGCGACCTGGGGTCCCGCAGCGGGTGCCCAGGCAGGGGGTCCAGGGGGATGCTCACGGCCTTCTCCCGCAGCGCCCGCTCCCCCTCCTCCTCTTCCTGAGCGGGAGCCCCGGAGCCCTTGGAGCTGCTGGGGCCGACGGGGCTGGAATGAAGGCTGCCCTCCGGCTTCGAGGTGGGCAGGGAGCGAGCCAGCCGGGGGTCAGAGGGCCCGGTGTCTCCCAGGCCGGATCCGCCAGAAGCCTCAGCATGGCGGGAGAGTCTGGGGTCCCGGCTGAGGCGGGGGTCAGCCAGTCGGCCTCCAGTGGTGTGCACCTTTTGGAGGCGGGGGTCTCCCAGCCCACTGCTGCTCAGCTCCCCAACTGAAGCTGGGGGTCGGCTGGATGTCTGCTGCCGCAGTGTCTTGAGGATGGAGGTGACACTGCTCCCCCCTTCGTCCTCATCACTTGAGTACCAGTTTCCGGTATCACCTGAGAGAGGGCAGACAGGCAGGGAGGGTGAGTGGTCGCACAGCCGCCACCGGCCCTCCAGATCCCCAGGAAGCCCACAGGGCCAGTGCCGCCCTGCCCCGGCACACAGAACCGCAGGGCCTCCTCCCAAGGCGTCCCGTGGGGGTGGGAGGAGACCCTGGAGGCCTCGGTGCCCAGCTCGGGCCTAGCACCTGGGGCTGCCACCCATGGAGCTTTCCACTGTGCCAGCCCTGCCCTAAGTGGTCTGTGGTATTTAAACGGCTCATCAGCCACCTAGAAGGTCAGGTCATTGACATGCCCATCGGACACAGAGCCAAGAGCGAGCCAGGACACCTAGTGCGGGCTCCATTGCCCCTTCCCACCCCCCGGGCTGGGAGGTCCCGGCGGCTCTCAGGCACGTGTCCTCAGCCCCCTTGCAACGCGACAGTGCCCCCCAGGAGGTCAGGGGCCAAACGTCCACTGGAGCTGGCGCAAGCAAAACCTTCAAGGGGGAACCTGCGCCAGCTGGCCCGCCCTCCTCCCCAGCGGTCCCCAGGCCCCTCCAAGGCCCCCTGTGGTCCCTGCCCACCGCTCCCACACGCCTCCTGCACACTGCTCCTCTCTCGCAGACAGGACAGGCCCCAAGCCTCCTCTGAAGGAGTGGGCAGCCCGTCCTGCTGGCTGTCGTGTCGGCAGGAACCAGCCCACCACGCTCCTCGATGGGATCGGGTCACTCCCACGTCTTGCAACACAGGAGGGCGGCCCCGGCACTCGTCTCCTCAGGGACACGCAATAGCAGTTGCCTGGCCTGACCCTGTGACCCTGACAGAGGTGCTCCCGCTGGGTGCAGGCCGCTACCTGCCAGGACCCCCGAGCGCGTCCCCACCGAGCCCCGCACAGCACGGGGGCCGAGCCCTGCCCTGCGAGACACGTGCCTTCCTCATTCTCCCGGTCCTGCTTGCTGCTCTCAGCCAGCCTCCTCGCTCTCTCCTCCTCCTCCTGCTGCTTCTGCTGGATCCTCAGGTACAGGGCCCTCTGGGTTGAGGGCAGGAAGTCGGGGACACCGGCACCCGGCTTCGGCCGGCCTGGGGGCCCTCCCTCAGAGAAGCTGTCTGGCTCCAGAGGATGCTCGGGGAAGAGGGGCTCCCCAGGCTGCCCCGGTAGCTCTTCGTAGTGCCCGTAGTCCTCTGTGGCAGGGAAGAACCGAGGGCTCAGGTTGGGAAGGGCCTCACAGCCCCAACTCCGTCCCAGCCCTTCCCTGCGGAAGCCACCTGCAGGGCGCTAAGTGCAGCCGTCCGTGCCGCCCTCCCCTGCCTGGTACCCACAAGAACCCAAGGCAGGCAGCCATGGGGCATTCCTGTCTGCAAGAGGAGGGGTATAGTGACACAGACCAGCGCTCACAGATGGAAACAGGACGGCCGGACAGGCGCTGGCCATGTGTGAAGGTGGGAGAAAGCTCTGAGGACAGACGGAAGGCGTCCTCCTAAGGACGGGCGGGGAGGCCTCGGGGAAGCTTTCGCCTTCCCCATCCTCTCCTGACCTGCGCTGTGATGAGCTGTGGTTTGCTTCTGGGACAAGGTAACAAGAAGCACCACTGAGTCTCCAGGTGCGCTCACAGTCTGAGCTCAACCATGTTTGCCCCCCAAAAAGAAAAACACAGGAGAACGAAAACTGCACAGCACCCCAGAGCTGGGGGCGATCTCTCCTGCTCCTCCCGTGCAGGCCCTGAACTCCCCGCCCAGCACTGCTCCCCGCAGGAGCCAAGGGCTGCAGGGCCGAGTCACTGTCACTCAGGGCCCCTCTCAGGACGCGGCGCTGAGCGTGTGCACAATGCTGAGCAACGAGGAGCTCGAGGACTGAGGACAGTGTGTCCAGAGTCAGTGCCAGCTGGGAATACAGCTCAGCGGCACAAGCACCTGCCTTGCAAGTGCAAGGTCCTGAGTTCAATTCCTGCTACAAAAACAAAACAAAAAAAAAACAACAAAACTCCAGAGTCAGTGCTGACCTTTCCACAGCCTCTACCCTGCCTGGACTAAGGATTGGAAACGTGGGGATAGTGGATCACATCTCATCACACGGTTTTTATTGAGACAGGGTCTCACTGTAGTTCAAGCTGGCCTTGAACTCACTATGTAGCTCAAGCTGGTCTTGAACTCTCAGCAATCTTTCTGCCTCAGTCTCCTGTGCTGGGATCACATGTGAGTGCCACCAGGTCCAGCACATCTCAGTTTTTTAAAAAAGCAAGTTCCCCTAGAGCAGTGACAGTCGGTGTCTTAGACTTTTCAATGCTAGCAAGCAGCCTGCTGCAGCACACACCACAGGTTCACCCTGTGAATGTGGAGACCAGAGTTACTTTTTTTGTCTTTGAGACAAGGTCTCACTATGCAGGTCAGGATGGCCTTGAACCCACGACGGAGCCCAGGCTGGCCTCAAACTCACAGCAATCCTCCTGCCTCAGCCTCCCGAGTGCTGAGATCACAGGTGTGCACCACCACGCCTGGCTTAGAGTTACTGTTAAAGGCTGACTGACCCCTGGTCTTCCAGCAGAGCCTTCTCCACATGCGTCTCCACACATTGAGCAGTTCTGGCGGCGCCTCTGCCCCCTCTGCCTTCTCACCGCACACAAGCCGAAGCCACTCACTTTCCCATCCCACCCTGCAGGGCTCCGTAGCACCCCTCGAGCACCCTTCAGAATCCCCAGGTGGCGAAAGCAGAAGGGTTGCTCTCGAGCCACCTGCTCCACAGGCCTAGCTCATCAGGCGACTGCCCCCCCACCCTGCCCTCTGCACCACCTGCCCAAGACAGCCGGGGCTGTGACTGTGAAGCCTGACCCTGCTGCTGTGCGCCGGCTCACTTCCGCTGTGGGGCCCTCCACAGCAGCCCAGGTGCTCCCTCAACTCCCACCCAGGGCCCATCTACTGCCAGCCCTCTTCAAGGCTACAGGGCCACCTCTGCCACACCGACACGGTCCTCTCACAGGGACCCGCTCGCCCTTCCTTTGTAGGCTGGGCCCATCTGACAGGCTGCTGCTGGACACAGAGCTCCGCCCCACACCTCTTTTACGCCCAGCCAACACCCGAGCTTCCCGGAAAGGCAGGCCAGGCCTCTGCTGGCCATCCCTGCCAAGGCCGTCAGGCTCTAGCTGTCACTCCCTACTTTCCTCTGTCTTAACAACAGTCAGCGCTGAAGGGAGCCGAGTCACCTCACAGCCTCCTCGGCCACTAAAACAGCCGAGGCCACGCCTGGCTGCAGGTACATCTCTGCTCTGAGGGCGTCACTGCTGTGCATGTCATCTAGCCCTTGCTGATTGTGGCACAAGGACTTTACCAAGACAGACACAAAGGAAGGAAAGAAAACGGCCAGTCATAGGGATGGGACAAGCAGAGTCACAGGTCAGCACTGGTAGCTCTAAGCCCAGAACTTTTCTGGCAGGGTCATGCTCCCAATTCTAGGCACACTGAAAAAATGCCTTTTTTTTTTTTTTTGGTCTTTTTGAGACAGGGTCTCACTATGTAATCCAAGCTGGCCTTGAGCTCACTTTGTAGCCCAGGCTGGTCTTGAACTTGCAACGTTCCTGCTGCCTCAGCCTCCCCAGTGCTGGGATCACAGGCATGCGCCACCATGCCTGGCAAAATCTTAAAAATCAAACAAAGGCATGGTAGACATGACTATCAGTCCCAGACACTCAGGAGGCTGAGGCAGGAGGACTGCCAAGTTTAAGGCCAGCCTGGGCAAATTAGCGAAAGCCTGTCTGAAAATAAAGGGCTGGGGTGTAATTCAGTATACAGTGCTTGCCCAGCATGTGTGAGGCCCTGTGTTCCATCCCCAGCACCACAAAGAAACAAGTAAAATAAGCCATACTGACAACATAAAACTCCTTTTGATCTCAACAAAGAATGAGCCTAATGTCACAGCAAACACTCGACTACTAAATGTGATGAAGATGGGAGCCGGATCCCCAACTCCAGAGACTTGGAGCACCTTCAGTCCCTTCTAGGCCGCCAAACCCAGCCCCCGGCCTCCCCGGCCGCCCCACGCACCTGCATCCCCGATGAGGCCTGGTTCCATCTCCATGCCCTCCTGCTGCTGGTAGAAGTTTTCATAGAAGTTCTGGGCTGGTGGGATGGGGGGCATCATTCCGGAATGTGGGGAGTCTCCAGGACCATAGGGCATCATGGGAGGACCGCCAGGACCCACAGGAGGGCCAGGGTTCATGCCAGGGCCCATCGGCATATCGGGGTGCATGTCAGGATGCATATCAGGGTGCATGTCTGGGTGCATGTCCGGATGCATGTCAGGGTGCATGGGGCCCCCCATTGGCCCTGGGGGTCCCATGTTGGGCCCAGGACCCATTGGCCCTGGGGGTCCACCAGGTCCAGGAAACCTAGAGGAGGAAATGGTGCCTGTGAAAGCTGCAGCTGAGGAGTGGTGGCCCCCACCCCAGGCGGTGTGGAGAGCGCCAACTGGCGAAGGGCTCAGAGCCCATGGCCATGGGTCCCAGGCAGAAACCCCAACATCTTCGGAGAGGCAGGTACCCCAGGGGCTCACCTCACGCCCAGCTTCTCAGCCAGCTGCCCCGTGGGCCGCACAACGATCTCAAACAGGGAGGGGATCTTCTTGTTGTACATGTCCTGCTGCTGCTGCAGCTGCTGTGGGGACAGTGGCTCGTGCAC